AGGCTGCTGACAGGTCTATGAAGACAGCTCCTGTGATCTGCTGCCTTTCAAAACCATCTTCTATGTGCTGAGAGGCTAATTTAGCTATTTTACGATAACATAAAAATCTCCAGGAGCGTGCAAAAGAATAAGGAAGTACTCCATCGGTGTCACAAGTGGACGGTGAAGCGACAGCTCTCCCGGTGGGCTGGATTCAAAAAGCATATCCTCATGAAGCTGGAAAGTTAAATAGCCTCTGTGTCTCTGTCTATATATGTTGTGTGTCTATGGCATTGAATGTTTGCCATGTATATGTGCATTGTGATCTGCACTGAGTCCCCTGTGGGGTGAAAAGGGTAGAATATAAATACTGTAAATCAGTGGTTCTCAACCTTGCTAATGCTGTGACCCCTTTATGCCGTTCCATATGTTGTGGTGACCCCCAACCATAATATTGTTTTCGTTGCTACTTGATACCTGTCATTTTAGTACGGTTATAAATCGTAATGTAAATATCCGATATGCAGGATATATTTTCATTCACTGGACTAAATTGAGCACAAATACCCAATATGCCCAAATGTGAATGCTAGTGGGGTTGGAGGGAGGGTGGGGAGGATTGATTTTGTAATTTGGGAGCTGTAGTTGCTGGGATTTATAGTTCACCTATAATCAAAAAGCATTCTGAACTCCACCAGCGATGGATTTAAACTGAACTTGGCACAAAGAACTCCCATGACCAACAGAAAACACTGGAAGGGTTTGGTGGGCATTGACCTTGAGTTTGGGAGTTGTAGTTCACCTACATCCAGAGGAGCGCTGTGGACTCAAATAAGGATGGATCTGGACCAAACTTGGCACAAATACTCAGTATGCCCAAATGTGAACACTGGTAGAGTCTGGGGAAAATAGACCTTGACATTTGGGGATTGTAGTTGCTGGGATTTATAGTTCACCTACAATCAAAGAGCATTCTGAACTCGACCAACAATAGAATTGGGTCAAACTTCCCACACAGAATCCCAATGACACCAGGAAATACTATGTTTTCTGATGGTCTTTGGCGATCCCTTTGATACCACCTCACGACCCCCTCAGGGGTCGCGACCCCCAGGTTGAGAAACACGGCTGTAAATAAATCAATAATAAATAGATACTATGAGACCACCCTGATGTCTTCTTCTTTTGCATCCTCCTTTCTAGATGTCTGTGCGGACGAAGAGGTCCGAGCCAAGATCCTGGAGCTGAAGCAGAAGCACGACGCCATCATGAAGTCGCACGACAAGCACAAGTCGCTGCTCCAGCGCCGAACTTCTAGCGCCGGGAGCCGAGGGTGAATTTCAGGGTTGAAGAGGGAAACTCTTCAGAGAGAAACTCTAGATTTCCTCCCTGTAACAGAGGAAGGGGTCACTCTCCAAAACAAACCAAGCCAGCAGTGCTTGAAGTCAAGAAGAGCTGTTGGAGGTTGCAAAAAGCACTGAGGCACAGAACAATGTGATAAGGAACAGCTGGGAAACTACCGTATATACTCCCTTTATCCTCCCTTGGATATATTTCCCTCTCCTTTTCATCTTTCTTGACAGTGTGTTTTCTTTTCTAGTCAAAAGAGAATTTATTTATTGTGTCAGGAGCAAACCAAACAGTTGTATTGCATTTAACAAACAGACAAAACACAAAGTTTGCAAACTTGGTAGTTGATTAAATGTCCTTTGACCAGTATCTGGCCCCTTGGAGTGCCTCTGGTGTTGTCATAAGAAGGTCCTCCATTGTGAATGTGGCAGGGCTCAGGTTGCATTGCAGCAGGTGGTCAGTGGTTGGCTCTTCTCCACTCGCAAGTCGTGGATTCCACTTTGTGGCCCCATTTCTTGAGGTTGGCTCTGCATCTCGTGGTGCCAGAGCGCAATCAGTCCAGCGCCTTCCAAGTCACCCAGTCTTCTGTGTGCCCAGGAGGGAGTCTCTCATTTGGTATCAGCCATTGGTTGAGGTTCTGGGTTTGAGCCTGCCACTTTTGGACTCTCGCTTGCTGGGGTGTTCCAGCAAGTGTCTCTGTAGATCTTAGAAAACTATTTCTTGATTTAAGTCGTTGACGTGCTGGCTGATACCCAAACAAGGGATGAGCTGGAGATGTCTCTGCCTTGGTCCTTTCACTATTGGCTGCTACTTCCCCGCGGATGTCAGGTGGTGCAATACCGGCTAGCAGTGTAATTTCTCCAGTGGTGTAGGGCGCAGACACCCCGTGATAATGCGGCATGTCTCATTAAGAGCCACTCCACTGTTTTAGCGTGGTGAGATGTGTTCCACACTGGGCATGCATACTCAGCAGCAGAGTAGCATAGCGCAAGGGCAGATGTCTTCACTGTTTCTGGTTGTGATCCCCAGGTTGTGCCAGTCAGCTTTCATATGATATTGTTTCTAGCACTCACGAAGCAACCAGAAGTCAAAAGAGTAGGAAACAGGGGAAGGAGAGATATTTCATGTCCTTGTTTGTATGGCTCTCTTTCAAATCCACCCAATTTCCTGGCTTTTTGTGTGTGTATCTAAATGTATTAACTTTATATGTGCATTTTTGTTCCCTTGGAAGTTTCCCCCTCATGTTTACAGGTCTTTGCAAATCCTATATACATATAGCTATCTAGAGATTTCCATGTACCTGCATAGAGTAATTTGACGTGTTCATTTTGTGCAACTTTTTAAGGCTTGTGATTCCACCAGTTCTTTGTCACAGGCAGAGGGTATTTGTGGCACAAGTTCCATCTGCCAGCAACAACAACAACAACAACAACAACAACAACAACAACAACAAAACTGGTGACATCACAAGCCTGAAAAAGTTACACAAAATGGACACGTCAAACTATTCTGAGACTTCCCAGGGAAGAGGATCAATCTGTGACACTCTCCCTCAAACTGGCCCACGACCCTTGTTGTCACTCTCTGAGACAACCTCTGACCCCACAATCCCTTCCCCTGTCTCCCCAGGAAAGTGGTGAGGCGGGTGAGCGTGACGGAGCGCACCAACCTGTACCGCAAGGAGCACGAGAAGGAGGCTATCGTGTGGCAGCGGCAGCGGCAGCAGGCGGAGAGCGAGGTGGAGGATGAGGATAAGCAGACAGACGCAGAGCTCCAGCCACCAACGTCGGTGAGTTACGGGGCAGAATGCTCGATGGCACGCATGCCAGGAGAGAGGACACTGTGTGGCCCTTCTGGCATGTGTGCCATAGGTTCGCCATCACTGATCCACATGGTCTCTTCTGACTCCATGCTTCTGTGATTCTATATCGGTCTCTGTCTGTCTGTCTATCTATTTTTCCATCTATCTTAGGGTTGGACTGGATGCCTTAGGATCTCTTCCAACTCCACGATTCTATGATTCTATAATCTATCTATCTATGTACGAGGGTTCTCCAGAAAGTAAGGTTCCAAGGAACGTAGCTCTTGCGGGGAATTTTCTCAGGGGAAGTTGGAAGCAAACGAGCAGTGCCAGTCGTCAGTAGCTCATCAACTGGCCTTGTGATGAAGGTTAGATATGAGGTCACAGTTGCTCTGGATGCAGGTGAACTATAACTCCCACGAAGGTTAATTTCTCCCAAACATCTCAATGTTCTCTTGGTCATGGGAAGTCTGTGTGCCAAGTTTGGTCAAGGTCCGTCATTTGTAGGGGCCGCAGTGGGCTGTGGGTGGTGAATCGTGTGAAGGTACTGCATATCCCATTGTCCGTGGTCCATCCTCCTGCAAACCACACCATATAGTGGGCCATGGGGGTATAGTGGGTCATGGGGTCCCACTGTGTGCCATGTTTGGTCCAGGTCCGTCATTCATAGGGGTCGCAGTGGGGTATGGGAGGTAAATTGTGTGAAGGTACTGCATATCCCATTGTCCGTGGTCCATCCTCTCTCAAACCACACCATATAGTGGATCATGGGGTTATAGTGGGTCATGGGGAGTCTGTGTGCCCAGTCTGGTCCAGGTCCATCATTCGTAGGGGTCGCAGTGGGCTGTGGGAGGTGAATTGTGTGAAGGGATACTGCATATCCCATTGTCCATGGTCCATTCTCCCTCAAACCACACCATATGGTGGGTCATGGGGATATAGTGGGGATAATTTAGTCCAGGTCTGTCATTCGTGGTTGGTTGCAGTGGTCTCTGGAGCTGAGTGAAGATATTGGCAATCCCTGTGGGAAGAGAGGTCAAATCCGTCGTTTGGGTTCACAGTGCTCTCTGGATGTAGGTGAACTACAACTCTTCTAAATCATGGTGAATTCTTCCCAAACCTCATGTTCAGTTGCTGATCAATTCCTGTTTGCTGTGTGCCATAGGAATGGGTAGGAAAGGGTTAAGTGAGAGGCAATGGGTGTGGTCATGCAAATTTGGAGAGAGAAAGGAACCCTGAGATGCCCATTCAGGAGTTAAAACAGAACACCTAGGATGAAACGGTCCCCGAATGAAAGCATTCCTTGGATTGTTGATGTTTGACGAGGACGTTGGCAGGGGTTGGGCAACATGTTCACGGCGCTCACCATAACCTTCAATGTCAGTGGAGGGAGTGCCTTTGGAGGCCAATCAGCACCTGGAACTATAACCTGTTTGTGGAGGCGGGAGGATGTCTATGTAAGTTCACACCTCCACCACATACACACATTTTAACTTTTATTATGCGTATAGAAGATATTAACAGTTTTGTTGTAGGTTTTTCGGGCTATATGGCCATGTTCTAGAGGCATTCTCTCTTGACGTTTTGCCTGCATCTATGGCAAGCATCCTCAGAGTTTGTGAGAACCTCACAACCTCTGAGGATGCTTGCCATAGATGCAGGTGAAATGTCAGGAAAGAATGCCTTCAGAACATGGCCATATAGCCCGAAAAACCTACAACAACCCAGTGATTCTGGCCATGAAAGCCTTCGACAAGATATTAGTTCTTTGCATTTAAAAAATCTTGTAACCTTACTTTCCAGATAACCCTCATATTTAATCTCTCTCCTTCTCTACCTGCTCCTCCTCCTCCTCCTGCTCCTCCTCCTGCTCCTGTTCCTCCTCCTCCTGCTGCTCCTCCTCCTCTGCCTCCTTCCTCTCCTCCTCCTGCTTCTACTCCTCTTACTACTACTCCTTTTACGATTACTCCTCTTCCTCCTACTGCTCCTCCTCCTCCTGCTGCTTCTCCTCTCCTCCTTCTCCTCTCCTCCTCTCCTCCCTCCTCCTTCCTCTCCTCCTCCTGCTTCTACTCCTCTTACTACTACTCCTCTTACTACTACTACTACTATTCCTCCTCCTGCTCCTCCTCCTGCTGCTCCTCCCCCACCTCCTTCTCCTTCTCCTCCTCCTCCTCCCTCCTTCCTCTCCTTCTCCTTCTCCTACTCCTCTTACTACTACTACTCTTCCTCCTCCTGCTCCTCCTCCTGCTGCTCCTCCCCCACCTCCTTCTCCTCCTGCTGCTGCTGCTCCTCCTCCTCCTCCTGCTCCTACTCCTCTTACTACTACTACTCTTCCTCCTACTGCTCCTTCTCCTGCTACTGCTCCTCCCTCACCTCCTTCTCCTCCTTCACCTCCTGCTGCTCCTCCTCCTCCTCTTCCTTTTCCTTCCTTTTCTCTCTCTCTCTCTTTCTTTCTTTCTTTCTTTCTTTCTTTCTTTCTGGGTTGGACTGGATGACCCTTGTCTCTTTGTGAGGCAGGAACAGCCCTGTGTGCGTGAGCGTTTGTCCAAATTCACCACCTTCTCTCCTTGCTCTACCAGGAGGCCGAGGAGGAGGCAGCGCCCCCGGAACCCTGTGCCTTGGACATTCCCTCGGAGCGCAACGGCTCGGCCCATTCCCGGCACTTGTACTCCAAGCGGATGGACCGCAGCGTCTCCTACCAGCTGGCCACCGAGGACGAGGTGGCCACGGCCACCACCAACCTCAGTAAGGACAAGGCCCGGCACACTTTGGCCGACCTCAAGCGCCAGCGGGCCGCCGCCAAGCTCCAGAGGCTCCACCCGGAGGACTACCCGCTGGACACCGGCGAAGGGACGCTGCCGGAGTCGGAGCGCAATTCGGTGTACTTCACGCCGTCCAGCGGGGACCCTCCTCTCCTGAAGCTGACCGCTCCGGCGGAAGAGACTCCGGCCGAGAAAAGGCGTTGCTGCAAGCTCATGTGAGCTGCGAGAGAGACCCTCCTCGCTGGATGTGTCCAGTGGGTCCACAAGCCTGGCTTCGCCCTCCAGAGCAAAACGGTGGTGGGTTGGAAGCCGCGTGGGTGGCAGGTTGGAGGCGGCCCACCAGTTCACCCGCAGTGTCCTTCGTCACCCACGCAGTAAACGTGGCTGGCCATTTTTACCCCCTCGAATTTTGCAGCGTGTTCTGGGAACGGTGGCTTCTGGTGGCCACTCCTTTACGTGTGTCTTTTGTGTGTGTTTGTGAGGATATATACGGCGGTTGGTTGCCGGGAGCCCAGGCTCCGGAAGAATCTCAGGGAAGAAGGAACACGGCTGGGTTTCGCTTGCCTCGACGTGGGTCAGGGAGGCGTTGCAATGGGGGTCTTGGGGCAATGGACGTAGAGGGGGCGCATAAGCCCCAGTGTGCCCATATTCTCCCTCTTTCTGTGTCTCTCTTGTCTGTGTGTCTTCTCCACAGGTGAATTGAAGGTAAGAGGGGAGCTGCACCCCATTTCTCCAACGGCACAGGATTCTGGGAGTTGTGGTCCAACTTTTCCAAGCCCTCGTGAGGGAAATATCTCATTTCTGGGGTGGTCAAAGGATGTGACAAGGAGAAGGGACACAGAGTCTATATCTCTCCAAGATTCTCCATAATCGGCATCATCTTGGTTATGGGATTGGCCTTATTGACCCCTCCCAAAGTGGGTCAGAAGAGACTATGTTGGGATAGAGTAGGCACAGGCAAATTTGGGACCTCGTTCCAGGTGTTTTGGACTTCAACTCCCACCATTCCTGGACTTCAACTCCCACCATTCCTGGCTTAAGCGGTTGAGGGGGGAAAGGAAGGGGCCTGAGGCCAGGAATGGTGGGAGTTGAAGTCCAAAACACCTGGAACGAGGTCCCAAATTTGCCCATAAAGTCCTAAGAGGAGTGGTACCCACCCAAAACAGAGCAAGGCTGCGTTCGGTTACTGCTTCGAGGTTCGCCTTCAAGCTCTAAGTGGTACCATCGCCGGTGAAACATCTCCTTTTGGACTACCGCTCCCAGAATCCCCCTTTCACCACTTTGCCTACTACTGCCTCCCTTTTTCCCCCTCCTCAAATCGATCTATCGATCATCTTTTCCTCTCCTTTTCTCCTCTTTGCATAATTCCTCGTGGTTTTTGCAAGCCACGAGTTTCCTATTTTCTCTCCTTTTTTTATTTTTTTGCAAAGTTTTTTTTTCTAACTATGTTTTTAATTCTTTCTCGACATCGACAAAAGCAATAAACTAGTGACTCTTTCAGCAGTCGTGTTCTTCCTTTTGGGAATAGGGAAAACATCCTAGTGCTGGAAACCTACTCCACTCATTGCCAAAGACATAATGAAGTTGAAAATTGAGCTGCAAAGCTACAGAATGGTGGACACATGGTTTGAGAGCAGTACGTGAGAAATACCTCTGAGGATGCTTGCCATAGATGCAGGCGAAACGTCAGGAGAGAATGCCTCTAGAACATGGCCATATAGCCCAAAGAAACCTACAACAACCCATGTGTGAAAAAGATCTGGGAGTCCTCGTGGACAACAAATTAGACATGAGCAAGGAATGTGATGCGGCAGCAAAAAAAGCCAATGGGATTTTGGCCCGCATCAATAGGAGCCTAGTGTCTAGATCCAGAGAAGTCATGCTCCCCATTCTCTATTCTGCCTTGGTAAGACCACACCTGGAATCACACTGTGACCAGTTCTGAAGGGAGATGTTGACATCTCCTGAGGAAGAGGGTGACTCAAATGATCCAGGGTCTGGAGAACAAGCCCTATGAGGAGCGGCTTAAAGTGCTGGGCATGTTTAGCATGCAGAAGAGAAGGCTGAGAGGAGACACAGAATCATAGAATCAAAGAGTTGGAAGAGACCTCCTGGGCCATCCAGTCCAACCCCATTCTGCCAAGAAGCAGGAATACTGCATTCAAATCACCCCTGACAGATGGCCATCCAGCCTCTGTTTAAAAGCTTCCAAAGAAGGAGCCTCCACCACACTCCGGGGCAGAGAGTTCCACTGCTGAACGGCTCTCACAGTCAGGAAGAAGTTCTTCCTCATGTTCAGATGGAATCTCCTCTCTTGTAGTTTGAAGCCATTGTTCCGCGTCCTAGTCTCCAGGGAAGCAGAAAACAAGTTGCTCCCTCCTCCCTGTGGCTTCCTCTCACATATTTATACATGGCTATCATATCTCCTCTCAGCCTTCTCTTCTTCAGGCTAAACATGCCCAGTCCTTATGCCGCTCCTCATAGGGCTTGTTCTCCAGACCCTTGATCATTTTAGTCGCCCTCCTCTGGACACATTCCAGCTTGTCAATATCTCTCTTGAATTGTGGTGCCCAGAATTAGACACAATATTCCAGGTGTGGCCTAACCAAAGCGGAATAGAGCATGGGGAGCATGACTTCCTGACGTTTCACCTGCATCTATGGCAGGCATCCTCAGATGCCCAGAAAACTCACAGCAACCTGGTCTGCAAACACTTAGAAATGAATTTGGTCACTGCTCATAGTCAACATGGATCTATCAAAAACAAGTCATGCTATATTCATCTCAACTCTTTTTTCGATAGAGTTACAAGCTGGGTGGATGCGGGGAATGCTGTGGATGGAGCGTATCTGGATTTCAGGAAGTCCTTCCTTTCTTCGACAAGGTCCTCCAGGTCCTTCTGCAAGGAAACTAGTTCCAGCTTGTCAATACCTCTCTTCAATTGTGGTGCCCAGAATTGGACACAGTATTCCAGGTGTGGTCTAACCAAGGTAGAAGAGAAGGCTGAGAGGAGACATGATGAGGGCCAGGGATCAAGAGGTGAAGGGAAGTCATAGGGAGGAGGGAGCAGGCTTCCTTTCTGCTGCCCTGAAGATTAGGACACGCTTCAATGGCTTCAAACTCCTCATATTCAGATTCCACCTGAATATGAGGAAGAACTTCCTGACTGTGAGAGCTGTTCAGCAGTGGAACTCTCTGCCCCGGAGTGTGGTGGAGGCTCCTTCTTTGGAGGCTTTGAAGCAGAGGCTGGATGGCCATCTGTCAGGGGTGATTTGAATGCAATACTCCTGCTTCTTGGCAGAATGGGGTTGGACTGGATGGCCCATGAGGTCTCTTCCAACTCTAGGCTTCTATGGGTCTAGGATGCCTACTGAAAATGTGGGTTGCCCTTCATCTCTACCAACTTCTTGAATGGCTTTGCTCAGAACTGGACACAGGCTTCTTCCAAATGAGGTCTGACCAACCAGAATAAAGAAGTACTATTGATTTTCTCAATTTAGACAGTAGACTCCTGTTGATACAGCTTAGAATCGCATTAGCCATTTTAGCCGCTGCATCATATAGTATCTCAGGTGCAAACGCTGAAGTCCAAAACCCATTGCAAACTGCTGGAATGTGATTCACTAGCACAATACAACGCACGAGACAGTGTTCTTTTGTTCTGAACACAATGGAGCATTTTACCTTCAAGTTTTACAGTCTTTATTGATCCACACTGCAATCTGAGAAGTTCAACCTGCCTGAGAGTCTGGTGGAGTCTCCTTCTCTGGAAGTTATTAAACAGAGACGGGATGGCCATCTGCTGGGAGGGCTTGGATCGCATCTTCCTGCGTGGCAGAATGAGATCAGACTGGATGGTCTTTGGGGGTCCCTTCCAACTCCATGATTCTATTAACTTCCAACCTGGAAACACCCAAAATGGAATGGCTGATAGTAGACTCTCCATCTCTAAAGGGTTTTAAACAGAGTCCAGGTGGCCATCTGTCAGGAGGGCTTGGATTGTGCCTTCCAGCCTGGCAAAAGGGGATAGGACTGGACGCTCTTTGAGGGTCTCTTCAAATTCCATAGTACTATGCTTCTATAATCCTATCTATCTATCTATCTATCT